TATATATATATATATCTGTATCTATCTATCTTTATATTATTGTATCTGAAAATATTTACAAGCATAAATTCATACCAATACCACTAGTTACAATGCAACACTACAGAGTTAATTGTAACATAACATTTTTGGTATTTGTAACTCATTGTTTTTGACAGCAAGAAGCCTAGTTCTCATTATCCTTAGTATTTTTATATGCTTAATTCTGTTTTATGTAACTAATCTCTAACCTCATCAATGGCTCCTGCCCTGCTCAGCCACCTTCCTTCCTTGAGTTTTGGGTTCTGCTGGGCAGCTTTCCTCACTTAAGCCAGCCTAGTGGCTTTTAACTTGAGAATCAAGAAGAAAAGAATGCAGAAGGTAAAGGGGGAGAAAGGAAGGGAGAAGAGGGAGAAAGAAAGAGAAGGAGGAAAAAACAAAAGGGGAGGAAGGGTATTTATTATAAACTATACGTATGTAATTTAAAAATATTTATTAGGATGTGTTCATTGTACATAATGATTACATTCCTTGTGGGGAATTGGTACATGTACATAACACCTCTTTTTTCATTCCCTTCTCCTCCTCTTCCCCTTCCTTTCATCTCTTTAAATCCTTCCCATTTGTAACAGATCAATTTACCTACATCCTATTATTTACCTTTTATTTTGGTCTTTATATTTTAGGTTTCCCATAAAGAGAAACCATGCAATATTTAAGCTTGTGTGTCTGATTTATTTCACTTAAAATTATGGTTTCAAGATGCATCTATTTTCCTACAAATGATTCAAGGTTATTCTTCATTATGGCAGATTAATACTCCATTGTGTATAAACACCATATTTTGTTTATTCATCTGTTGATGGATATATAGGCTGCTTCCAAGATTTAGCTGTTACAAGCTGTGCTGTTTTAAAGATGGGTATGTGCATATTACTGTAATATGTCTTTAAAACTCAGGAAGATACCTAGAAGGGGAATAGCTGGGTCACATGGAATTTGTAGTTTTAGTTTTTTGAGGAGTCTTGTTACTGATTTCCGTAGCGATTGTACTAGTTTATATTCCCACCAACAATGTAGAAGGATTTCTTTCTCCTCTGCAGTCTCACCAGCATTTGTTATTTGATTTCTTCATGTGAATCATTCTTTCTTTCTTTCTTTTTTTTGGATACAGGGGATTGAACTCAGGTCCTTGCACTTGCGAGGCAGGCTGCGGAACCACTGAGCTAAATCCCCCACCCGAGAATCATTCATTCTGGAGAAAGATGGAATGTCACTATTATTTTAATTTCCATTTCCCTAGTGGCCAGGAATGCTGAACATTTTTTCATGTATTTATTGGGTATTTGTATTTCTTCTGAAAAGTATCTGTTCATTTTAGTTACCCACTTTTTCATTGGATCTTTTATTTTCGAGGTCTAAGTTTTTTGAATTCTTTATATATGCTAGTGCTTGCTTTATGAAATTAGGTACACTGTAGTTTGGTGCATATATGTTTATAATTGTTATCGCTCCCTGTTGAGTAGTTCTGTTAACCAATATGTAGTACCCTTCTTTGCCTCTTTTGATCAGCTTTGGCCTAAAGTCCACTTTGTCTGAAAATAGGTAGCTACTCCTGCTTGTTTTCAAGCTCCCATTGCATAGAATATTGTTTTTCATCCTTTGACTTCTAGCCAATGAATTTTTTGGGTTAAATGTGTTTCTTGTATACAGCATACCATTGGGTTTTGTTTCTTGATACATTCTGCTAATGTATGTTTTTTGATTGGCAAATTGAGAACATTCACATTGATATTTATAACCGATAGATACTGATTTATTTCTATCATTGTGTTATTTTTCTGTTGCTTTTTTCCTTGTACTCAATTACTCAATTACCTTGTGTACTCATTCTGTTGGACCTTTTGCCATTGTTAGCTTCATTGTCTCTTTACATGATATCCCTGAGAATTTTCTGGAGCATTGGTTGGGTGATCATGAAATTCTCAGGTGCTCTTTATCATCAAAATATCTTATTTCTCCATTGATTTTGAAAGGTAATTTTGCAGGATTTATAAGTGTGGTTTGGAAGATGTTTTCTTTTAGGGCTTGAAATATTTCACTCTAGGCTCTCCTGCCCTTTAAAGTGTGTGTTGAGAAGTCTGCTGTAATCCTAATGAATTTATAACACTGGAAACCATAAAGTGGAATATTTTTGTAAATTTTCTCTAGCAGGTTAGTCTGCCACCTTTAATCTCAGATTCCCACAAAGTCTCAGGACATGAGCAAAATATAGACACATTTTCTTCTAGAGCATAGCACACATAGCCTGGAGTCAGACTGCCAATGGAGTCCTTGTTCCCAATGGACAATTCCTGAGATTGGTCTTTAACACCTGCACTTCTGTCAGGATTTTGGTCTTCTGAATCTCTTGTCAAGCTGGGTTTACAGCATTCTAGGGCTGCTTCTCCAGTAGGCATCTCCAAATCTTTCCAAACTCCACCTGCAAACCACTTCTAAAAGCTTCTGAACCAGATGGTCAGGTAGGATCACAGCAACAACCCTATTGAAGATACCAAAATCTATTTTAGTCACTTTCTCTATCACTGGGACATAATACCCAACACCTGCAAAATAAAAGAGGAGAGGTTTATTTTGGCTTATAGTTTTAGAGGTTTCAGTCCATAATCAGTTGACTCCAAGGTGGGATGGCATAGCAGAAGAAAGCTGCTCACAACATGGTGGCAGGGAAGCAGAGAGAAGAGCCAAGGGAGGAGGCTGGAAAAGCTTTTCATATTAGAGAAATCATGTGACATTTAACTTCTGTGTCTGACTTATTTCACTTAAAAAGACCCAATCAAAAAGCAGGCAATTGAAATGACTATACACTTCTCAAAAGAAGAAGTACAAATGGCCCCTAAGTACCTCAAAAAATATTTAGCATCTTTGATCATTAGAGAAATGCAAATCAACAGTGAGAATCCATCTTACTTTAGTAAGAATAGCTATTATCAAGGACTCAAAAACAACAAACACTGTTGAGGATGTGGGGGAAAAGGAATCTTTTTAGGTTGTTGGTGGGAATGTAGACTAGTATAACCACTATGGAAATCAGTACAAGATTCCTCAAAAAAAAAAAAAGAAAAAAGATTTTAAAAATCAAATTTATTGAGATACTTTATTTAGAATAAACTTGTCATAGCCAGTTTGTAAGTTTCTGACAAACACAGCTTTGCAGCCCCCACCATGTAGGACAGTTCTGCAGCTCCTACATGCCCATTTATAATCAACCCTTCCTGGAGACCTATTTCCTAGCAACTACTGATCTGTTTTCTATGCCTATAGTTTTACCTTTTCCAGAATGTCATACAATTCGCTGTGAATGTCCCAGTAGTTCACTCCTTTTTATTGCTAAGTATTTCATTGTATGACTACAACACGTTTCTTATGAACTTACCCATTCAAATACATTTTGGTTGTGTCTGAGTTTGGCAACCAGCCTCTCCTAAATACAGAGTATCCACAGGAGGGGGTTAAAAGAAGTTTTCAAGGACAAATTAAAGAAGTTTTGAAGTTGAGGGATGTTCCAAGAAGGGGCTAACCCTTAACAAAGACTGGAAGTTGGAAGTAATGTAAGTAGCTAACAGTTTCAGCATGATTTCATTAAACAGTCTGTCCCTCCCTAACTACAGACTCTAGATTTATACACATTATGTCTTATATAAAATGGTGTGAGGATAGGTTAATTCAGGGTCTGCTTTCCTAGCTTTGTTGGAACAACTGTGTTTTGTTTAGTGATCTAGAATACCTGGGGGAGAGTCTAATCTACAAGTTCATTGATCTCTTCTACAGACAAGAAGAACACAAAAGTTTCTACTAAAGTGGTCATGATTAATGGTATTAGAGTTAACGATTGTTGCTTTAGAGTATACAGACCTTGCACACACAATATACAGCCTTGTTGTGAGGTAGCTATTCATATTTTAAATGTACTGATGAGTAGCTACATAGCTGAAGGATTAGTACTCTAGTATTTTGTCTGTAAATCCAGGGTCCACCTTCTCCCCTCCCATAGTGGGGATTGAACCAAGGCCTCTTAGGGATTCTAGGCCAGCGCTGTAGCACTGAGTGACATCCCGCCTCCAGTGTCTCTTCCAGTACTCCGTGCTTCGCAGAAGGAAGTTCTGACTCACCCGGATAATGAGAACCACCCATTCTGAGAGGGAGGGGCCTGAGGTTTTTCTAATCCCAGCTGTGGACAGGCAGGCCACAGGGTTTATCACGGAGATCACCCTAACCACACTGTTTGTTAAAGCAGCCCTTCTTTTCAGAGGTACCTAACTAAATGGATGTTAATCTTTTCTGCACCCCCTTTAATTGCTCTAATAGATGTTTTACCATTTAACTCCTTTGTTTTAAGCAGATTTCCTATCTCAGGTGTGTGACTAACCACATCCACCTCTTGTTTTTGCTAATACAAAACGCCCAGAGATGCAGAATGTCTGGCGTTCCACGAACAAGTTCGAGATCCTTCAAGACAGGCTGGAGTGGGTGGCATAGTTTCCACGCAGAGAAAAACCTTTGGGCAGTTTGCCAATGCTCCAGTCAGAGGGTCTGTAAATTGAATAACCTGCACTTTAAGCCACTCTCTGCTGCCCAAGCCGATAACACCTTGAAGCTGAAGCCCACGACTTCCGGGGGCTTCCTGCCTCCCAGAAGAACTTTTACCGAGCGGAACTCTTCTCCTCAGCCCCCAGTCCTGTCACTTCCTGCCTGCTCGGGGTTGGCCCGCTGGTCCCTGGGCGCCGCGACTCCTCCCCAGCAGCAGCTAGCGGCCACTCCCTGCTCGGAGCCGGCCATTCAGCCTCCCTGTTGGCTGCGCAGAAGCCACCGCCCCCCCCCCGCCCCCCCAGGATGCCCTGGAAGCACCAGGGCCCCACCCAGCCGGGCCCCGCCCAGCCAGGCCTCTGCTGGACCTGGGCGCCCCGGGACGCTCTCGGGTTTCGGAGACTCCGCTCGGTGGTCGCGGGCTCTGCGGGACCATGCTGCGCTGGCTGCGGGGCTTCGTGTTGCCCACGGCCGCCTGCCAGGATGCGGAGCCGCCCACGCGCTACGAGACCCTCTTCCAAGTCCTGGACCGCAATGGGGACGGCGTGGTGGACATCGGCGAGCTGCAGCAGGGGCTCAAAAACCTGGGCATCCCGCTGGGCCAGGACGCCGAGGAGGTGGGTCGCTGCCGAGCACGGGGAGGTCCGCGGGCGCCTGGACGCCCCGAGACTCAGGAGGGCGGCGGCTCCGGCTCTGCCAGGAAGGAGAGGTGTTGAGATCCCAGCCCAAGCACAGGTTCAAACAGGACGGATCCTCGAGGCTGCGGGGTGTTTTTCAGTTCAAATTAGTGTTGAGAACACTGGCCCTGAGTGCTGTTAAATTTTGAAACCCTGTCCCGCAACGCTGCCTTTTTTGTGCCTTGGCAAACATTGAGTCTTTTTTTTTTTAACCTGTCAGATTTGAGTTCCAAATTCTGTAAAAGATACACTTTGTATCCCTTCGAAGTTGCTTTGTTTCACTGCTCAAGTCATTTACTGTTTCAAAACCGTTTGAAAACCAGGAGTTCTTGCTGAGGAGAAATGGCGGCATTTCACTGTTTAAGACATTCTTAAGTTGATGACCTAGGTACACGAATTGGTCTGAAAGGTAGACCTGTTGCTGAGTAATTTCACCTCCTCTGAGTCATTTTAATTGTGCCCCACATCATCATGCCCCTTAGCAGGGTGGGGTACAATAGTATTTGGACCGCCTCCAGCACTCCTGGCGTGTAAGAGGACAACTGTGGCATTCTCTACCCGGAGGGAAAGTGGATTGGGTTACTATGAGGGCGAACAACTGCTCTGTAGTTATGTATTTAAACTTATCTTTCAATGTTTTTAGTATTAGAAGCCTCTTCAGTTTCCTATTTTTAAGTCAGAATTGATAAAGGTTTTTTGGGAGGAGGGTGGGGAAATGCCCATTTTGCCCATAGTTCACATTATTAAGATTTTATAAAACTCTGGCTGTATCTTTAGGGAGATTCTGTATTTCATTTCTGATCTGTAGCCTTTTGGCTCACTTGATCTTGCCAAGGGCTTGTCTATTTTATTCGTATTTGGAAAATTTGGTATTTTTTTTTGCTTGGATGTCTCATTATTTTATGTCACTAATTTCTGTTTATTTCCTTCTACTTTGGGTTTACTCAGTTGCTCCTTTTCTAATTTTTTGAATCAAACATATAACTCGTTAATTAAGGAGATAGAATATCTCTTTAGTAATTTCTTTAGCACATCTCACAAGTATTTGGGAGATTATTTAATTTTGTTATTTAGTTCCAGGTATTTTCTAATTTACAATATGATTTCAGCTTTGACTCGTTAAACATTTAAGCTTATGCTTTAAATTCCCTAATATATATTTTGGATAGTTTTAAAAAATATAAATAAAATAGACAAACTCTGGCAAGGTTATTGATTAAGAAAAAGGAGAAAGTAAATATAACCAGGAATTTAAGAAGTCTTTAATTTATCAAGATTTATAGTATAAGTTGTATAGAACTGTTGTATGTAAACACACAGAACAAGATGGCACATATTTGTCGCTGTAATATTTGCATAAATTCTTTTATACATATATAATTCTTTTATGTGTATATATATACAAAATATGTTTTATTTATGCATGTAATATCATTCCATGTGCTCATGGCCAGGCATTATTAACCCTTCACAGGGTTCTTTTCTTGACTGGCACACTCTTCCATAAAAGATTAGCGACATTTATTTCTGGATGAAATAGGAGTTAGAATTACTTTTCTACTTTTTTCTTTACATCTTTTGTATTGTTTCAATTTAGAAAAATGCATGGATATTATTTTAAGATTAGGGGCAGAGTTATTGTTATTTTGGATAAATATCACCTCCTCTGTAGTGTGTCTTTCTGGGCCACCCTCTAAAGAAGAGTTGACTACACCCTGCTATGTGTAGGTCCATTGTCTTTATATCATTACTGTTATAACATTCAAGTGATATTATTTTAATTTGATTAATGTGCTCTCCACTAAGACCATACCTCTTAAGGATGAAGAGTCTATCTAATACATCAAATCAGGTAATACCAAAAGGTTTAAGGCTGTGATTTGAAATACTCCAACAAGGCAGTGGCTTATTCTTTAATAATTCAAAAAGAGCAAAATTTAATTTTAAATCAAATTTTTAGTGTTTCTATTTCTAGTGTAGGTAGATTAAGATAGCCAAAAATATGTTGCATAGTCCCTAGACATGCTGGTTAAAATATATCACCTCTTTATATGTATAACTGGATGTGTAAAAAAAAAACCAAAAAGGAAAATTCAGCCAGTTCGCCTGGGTTTAAATCAACCGTTACTTTTACTAGTTTTATTTTGGCAATTTTCTTAACCTCTCTGGCTTCAGTTTCCTCATCTGTGACAGAGGTAACAATAAAACACCTCATAGAGTTATGTATTGTGAAGAATAAATGAATTAAAATATGCAAGTCCTTATAATAATGCCTGGTGCCTAATAAACATTCAAAAATGACTAGCCTTTAAATTATCTAATCCCGTTACTTTATTCACCTGTGAAAGAAGGGTATCAGTCTCTTTCTATGATTGTAGATTTGCCAACTTCTCTTTACAATTCTGCCAATTTTTCCCTTTTTCTATTTTGAGGCTCCACTACTGGTGTATTCAAATTTATTATTGTTACATCATCCTGGTAAAAATTGCTCCTATAATCATTACACATTTTCCCCTACCCTTGTAGGATAGTTCCTCCAGTTTTCCAATACCTGAATCATTGCATGAGCCAGAGCTTTCCTGTCAGCCAGGTAGTCTTCGCAGGTCAACTCTGGTGAAATCTTTAGCATGTGGGCTCCCATCTTGTGGAAAGGATAACACTTGCCCCACACTCTCCTTAGGGTGGGATGTTCTTCACCTGTTGGGCAGTGAGTAAGCCAGTACCCAGACCCATGTTACTGCCTCTTGTTGTGGACCACTCCCGGTACTAATTGCATCGTCCTGCTCCCCTGAGGAATAGAAGCCAAGAAGGGATTGCATATGCAAAAGATTTATAAGGAGAAAAGCCTGTGAACAATAAGAGGGAGGGAATGAAAGTAAGTCCAGAGGGTCCTTCGATTATGATGCAAATTTAAGATAAGTATGAGAAGGAAGTTTAGGAAGAAGTCTAGATCGGAATATAGGTTTTAGAAAGACTCAGGTATGTTAGTGGGGAGTCACTAAGGACCTGCTGTCTATTAGGGGAATCCTGCTTTGGCTGCCCAGTGCTAGTACTAGGGCGTGCCTAGTCATTGGTTGGAGAAGCCCAGGACAAGCATGAATTTGGCATGAGCTGCAGTGGGTCAAAGGTTCTAAGGTGTGGCAGGGGTAGTTGATGTATACATCAACTCTGCTTTCAAAGCCAGGTTTTATGGAGAGTTGGCGGAGCTGCTTGACACCCTCACCACCACTGAGAGGAAGTCTGTAAGACAGGACTGCTTCTTTACATAGCTTCAAGAAAGAGCTCCTTCATGGTTCTTGGCTTCCTTTCCTGAGAGAGGTCATTGGGATGAACTACAGTCCTTGTTGCTTCAGTTGGTCACAACTAGAACTCATTTCCTTTCTGAAGTATCTATTTTCAATCCCCTTTACTCTTAGCTATAATCCCTGTGGGTCTTTGCAACTTACTTCATTCCTGAGGGGTCTGAGCTTCCCGGGCTGATATTGCTGCATGTGTTCATTCATAGGTATAATTGGTCAAGGGAAAATCAGGCTGCATCCATGTGGATCACTTCCGTTCCATCCATATCACTCTGTCTCCATTGTGTAAAAGCTACACAACCTCCTGGTGATTGTGTCAGTTTACATCTACCACTTCTCTTTTCTGTTTGTTCCTGGACACAAGGAGTTCAAAATGGTAAGCTCATAGTTCAGTAGCTCATAGTTCAGTGGGACACTTGCCTGTTGCCTAGCAAGAGTATATCCTATTGGGACCAGAAACTAACCCTGCAGAGCTGAGAGTTGTGGGAACAGGAAGCAAAAAGCCCCCCAGTGGGCCTTTGGGAGTGATGGAAAGCGAGGCTCCTCCTGCTTCCACCTCTTGTTGCTGGACTTAGGTTCTTCAACTGGGCACCTCCTGGAGCCATATAGAGGTCTCCCATTTAGTGCATATATGCAGACTGAAGGTTGCATAGCCTCTGCTAGATACTGTCTCCTAGTAAGTTGTTCAGATATACTTTTCTTTAGACCATTCCAGAATTCTGAGATTGGCTACTTCTGCCTGATGTAGGCTGTGTTGTGAATTTGTGCCCCCAAAGTTTATGTGTTGGAAAGGTAATTCCACAAATTTTTTGTTACAAGTATTTGCAGAGGGAAACCTTTGGGAAGTGATTAGGATTGAATCATTAGGTTGGGACACCCTCTCTCGTAGTAAATGACTTTATAAGAAGAAGAGTAATGCTTGCTCTGTCTTGCCATGTGATGTCCTCATTAATGTTAAGATAACACGAGAAGGTCCAGATACCGACATCGTGTTCTTGGTTTTCCCAGACTCCAAAATCACAAGCCAAATAAACTTTTATTCTTTATAAATTACTTGATCTTAGATATTTTGTTAGAATGACAGACAATGGACTAAGACATATGGTACTGTGTGACATGGCCAGAGACTTCTTTGGCCATGTGCCAACTTCCACACCTTATTAACTGTGAGCTGGACAGGCTATGTGCCATGAGTCCATACATTACATGTTCTCACCTCAGGCCATGTTCCTTCCACACAAAGGAAAGTAATCTTTTTTTTTTTTTTTTAAATTCAGGTCTATGTATAGTTGCTATAAATGAAGAATTGGATATTGCAATTTAAAAGTTATGTAGGAGTACAAAGGACCTAGAAAAGTAAAAAGAAAAAAGAAAAAAAACAGTGTTGGTAGACATTTAGTACCTAATTTTAAGACTTCTTCTAAAGCTACAGTAATCAAGGCAGTGTTG